AACAATTTAGTGAATAATATTTGAAACATTCGATCTTCTCATTGCCCAAAAATTGTTTAAGGGTGAAGTACGTCATTGCTGAATAAAATTCAAAATCTTATTTTGTCTTTGTTAAATCGATGTTGGTTTAATTATTCATTTTAAAATTTAACGATGATGGGTTAATGCGGTGAATCCCTCTAATGCGTTGTAGAAGGAACTGTTGGTTATTTACACACATAATGGTTGTGTATGGCATTTTCAAATGCTAATGTGATTACTAAAACTTACCTAGAGTTGATATTTGCATTTTACGGTGATTCCGATGATTGATTTCTATTTGACCCTTAAGAAAATTAATTTTTATTGTATATGAAGTCTTGTTAACACCATTCCTATACATATATGGATTGACCAGTTGAACACAATCTTTATCAATGTAGGCATAACCGATCAGTTGACGCAACACTCAATCTGCGAATTCCCCTAGTTTATGACCTCGTTCAAAATCCATCAGTTACACAAGCACACACACACACACAAATTATTGTAAAACCTACAAAACGGTGATGTATGAGTTCTACCATCAAAAAGGGAAACTTTTATTTTAACAAATATCGAGCAATAAAGATATATTTTACTATGCATTTGATATATATATATATATATATATATATATATATATATAGATATATATATATATATATATATATATATATATATATATATATATATATATATATATATATATATATATATATATATATATCATTCCTAATTGATTTCCAAGAAACTCTACATGATAAGCTTTACCATCAGAACAGGGACACACACACACATATAGAAAGTGTTAGAAATTATACAATCAAATAAGGGACATTCTATAAATATGTATTTTGATTCCAAATAGAAATAATTTCAGTCTAAATACTGTAGTAATCTCACCTCGTGCGCATAGTTCTCATCCATATTAAGAAACGAAATTAAAATTATCATGCTGAATTTTCATCTAATGTCTGTTGTGTATATAAATAAAAATGTACGTAAAGGAGTTGGAAGAAGTTGAATCATCAGAGTTGTGTGAAAATACAGAGAATGTGTTTCTTTTCCTAAAATTAAATAATCAAAGATATGCATGCCAATCCTAAGTTAAAATTTGGCAAGACTACGGTTTGGAATTTTAAATGTCCTACAAAATAATACATATTTAACTTTGGTGTACTAATCGTTGTCACTTTAGTGCAATCTCCATTGATAAGCTGCTGCATAATATGAGCTCTTCAACATGGAAACACCGAAAATGTATTTTATATATTGGGATGTTTTAGTTTTAATTAGCACAGGTTAGAGTCGCATTAGTGTTCCTGAACCAAATAGTCCTCATTTTAAATATAATTGTGTGGATTGATTGTGTGACTCCATGTGTAATATCCATGATAAAGACTGGTAAATCGTACAATGGAATGATTTATAGAGGGCTGTCCTGTCATATGGAGACGTCTTTTATTCGTATTTTGATGGTAAATATGACGCAACTTTACAAGAGAAATGAGACTTAAAATTATGATTTGACTAACTTAAGGCAACGTAGAAAAAAAGTTTCCGTTATTAGGTGTACGAGTTGAGATTTGCATCTTATGATAGCTAGGGACCAGCGCTATGTTACGGAAAATATAACAAGGAGAAACGATGCAGGTGTGAAATAGGCAGCAATTGTAAAGTTGTGATGTAAATGTGTAGTTGTAATATCGGTCGTCATGCATTAATTAGAGGAATATTTTTATAGTTTCTTTCATTCGTCCATTAAAAAGAACTGTTGCGTGTAACATTAATAATGCTCTGCATTACGCATAGTGAAGTCATTTGTGAATTCAATGTTACATAATTGTGGCTTTTTATTGATTAGAGAAAATTTGACGAATGTTAACATACTTAAAATCAGGGGATAACAAGGGACTTACGGCCGGAAGGAAATGAATCTAGCAAGAATTAAGAAAGGCAGAAGTAACGAAGCAGAGAGAGAGAGAGAGAGAGAGAGAGAGAGAGAGAGAGAGAGAGAGAGAGAGAGAGAGAGAGAGAGAGAGAGAGAGAGAGAGAGATAAAGGTCCTGACTAAATGAGGAAAGAATACGAAGTACTTGATAATTTACATCTGAGTCAAAGAAAATGCATTTAGTTGTTAGGTTTCTCATCATTTATACTTCAGCAAGGATGCACATTTATGATAGATCGAGAAATACTAAATATGAACATGAAAAACTTTAGCGTCTTGTCTGGTGACATGTACAAGTACTTACACGAGTTTAGTTTGTATTTCATATTGGTTCAATCGTAACTTATAGGATATAACTCTAAAGCGGATGAAAGAAATGGTATTATGTTTTGATTGCCATGTAAACTGATCGTTGATATGCTTCTAACACCATTTGCATGAACTAAAATCTATGTTGTGTAGTTCGTTTCCAAATGTGCATGGCTCAGAGTTAATCAGGAGATAAAAAAAAGTACTGATGAATTCCTAGAATTTACTGATCATCGCAAAAACTGCATAATATCTGCATGAAACCTTACATTTAGTTTTATTGCGTTTGCGAATTTGGCGAAGTGTATATGAACGTTGAAATACGCATTAACAAACTTGTATATCGGTATTGCTCTGTGTTAAAATAGAAAATATGTCACAGATATTTGTCTCTATGTACATCCATCCTGTTCGCCATTATTGATGCCATTTTCCATGAGTACTTCGGACGAAAAGTGCGCAAGCAGACAGCAATACAGTGTGAACGTTTACCGCATAAACGGGAACACAGTTTTCTGACTAATACACATGAGGTTTTGATTCGAATGGAACGTATGAACCGTTATGTGTAGCATGACACGAAAAATACCAATAAAAGTTGACTTGCTCAGGTTTGTATCATTAAATAAGACCTTCACATTCCATTCAAGCTGACATTACAAAACCGGGAAGTATACAGATAACTATAAATCTGATAATAAATACAACCACCAAAAGTTTAAGCGACAAGGTGAAACAATTTTGAATCCTTATAACTGAATTTCATCGCCAATTGTAAATGATACTTGCATCATGAATATAAAATTTTGTAGTCCAGAGAGACTATGTATTATTATTTCACCAGAATGACTATCTTGTTTTTCACTATTACTATTTAATTACGTTTACCAGAAATAAATGAAATGAAAAGTCATATCAAGACTCAGGCAACTTTAAGATGTCAAATTTAAGTTTATCAGCCCATCCCTGTTTAAGAGAATATGTCAACATACAGTAAACATTGAAGTTTCCCATATAAAGTATTGCATGTTTGTACAGTGCATAGTAATAGGTGTTCATGGGTAGACTCTACATGTCGTCATATACAGTATTGCATGTTTGTACAGTGCATAGTAATAGGTGTTCATGGGTAGACTCTAAATGTCGTCATATACCGTATTGCAAGTTTTTTTTTACTCACTACATATTCTAATGTTCAGCATTGAATGCTGTTTAGTATACACTGGTTTCTCCTTATAAAGTGCTATAACCTCTTTAGCACGGTGAATTTTCGATTGATCCCGTGGCTTAAGTGGTTCGTACGTCGTCGAGGGATCAAATTCCGGCCGAGTAATACCAAAGACTGAGGAAAGTGATACAATCAGCTGCCTCGCTTGATGATCAACGGTAAGAGGTTAAACATTATTGTATCTTATTTGTTGTTTAGTATACACAGAATTCTCCCACATACAGTCTTGTAGACTGCATTTCCCCAGATACAGTATTGTACGTGTAGCGTAGACTGCATTTCCATATATACATCCTTTTACAATTTGCGTAGTCTGTATTTACCCATGCGCGACTTGTATGTTTAGAAAATAATGATACAGTTAAACAAAGTTTTACAAAAGATTTGACTCAAACTTAATTGCAACGGATATAATTGATTTAGTGTTACTTCCTAAGAATATGATATGATCTGCCTGAATATCGCAATCTTAGATCAACATAAGAAACACATGTCAAATATAAATGAGGTTTTTGACTCGCAAAATACCTTTGTCGATATGCTTCGAGTAACAATTCATAAACCTTTAAGATACATTTATTTGCCACATCATAATTAGGACTTGATGTTTTTACAGTGAATCTTAGTCTTCATGAGCTTACTGCTAGTAAACTTCATAACAATAAAGTTCTCAATTATTTCAAATGCTCAGCTATTAACCGCTTCATTGTTTACAAAATGGGTACAAATCTAATAGTTATGGTACATCAAAAATGGAACTTGAATCAAACTTTATAAGATAATTTCATATGGTGAGTTTTAGTTTATTTAATTTTAATTGCATTTCTCTCCTTCTTTCTCTCTTCATTTCATTTCATTTTTATTTCTTCTCTTCTCTTCTCTTCTCTTCTCTTCTCTTCTCTTCTCTTCTCTTCTCTTCTCTTCTCTTCTCTTCTCTTGTCTTCTCTTCTCTTCTCTTTTCTTCTCTTGTCTTCTCTTCTCTTCTCTTCTCTTCTCTTCTCTTCTCTTCTCTTCTCTTCTCTTCTCTTCTCTTCTCTCAAACCGCTCCGGTGGCCTAGTGGTTAGAGCATCCGCTTCGGATGCGGGAGGTCGTGGGTTCTATCCCCGGTCGAGTCATACTAAAGACTAACAAAATAGTACTAACAGCTCTTCTCTTATCTTCTTCTCTTCTCTTCTCTTCTATTCTTTTCTCGTCTCTTCTCTTCTCTTCCCTTTTCTTCTTTTCTCTTCTCTTTTCTCAAACCGCTCCGGTGGCCTAGTGGTTAGAGCATCCGCTTCGGATGCGGGAGGTCGTGGGTTCTATCCCCGGTCGAGTCATACTAAAGACTAACAAAATAGTACTAACAGCTCTTCTCTTCTCTTCTCTTCTCTTCTCTTCTCTTCTCTTCTCTTCTCTTCTCTTCTCTTCTCTTCTCTTTTCTTCTCTTCTCTTCTCTTCTCTTCTCTTCTCTTCTCTTCTCTTCTCTTCTCTTCTCTTCTCTTATCTCAAACCGATCCGGTGGCCTAGTGGGTAGAGCATCCGCTTCGGATGCAAGAGATCGTGGGTTCTATCCCCGGTCGAGTCATGCCAAAGACTAACAAAAATAGTACTAACAGCTTGGCGCTCAGCATTAAGAGGTTACTGTTAGGACCTGTCGGCCAGGTATCAAGATAATATCAATGGGTGGGACATCATGCTACATGTCTACGGCACGATAACCCAGTGCTCGACATCCCTATAACCTGCCACTATGCAGACATCGTAGCGATATAAGTGAAGAATCCTTAAAGCTACGTTAAAAATCATAATCCCTTCCCTTCCCTTCCCCGCCCTGCCCTATTCTTCCCTTCCCTTCTTGCTCCCTCTGCAATTGCAACTGCATTTGAATCTCCTTTCTCTCTTCCCTTTTTCTATATCTTTGAAGATAAAGCTTACCTAGATCTACTTCTACCCTGGTTCCCTTTTTCTATATCTTTGAAGATAAAGCTTACCTGGATCTACTTCTACCCTGGTCTTTTCTTATAGCAATTGCACATAAGAAAAAAATGCGGTATACACTACCTTAATTGGAAAGCCATAAATTCTTTTGTAACAAATATTTGATCAAAATGTACTTATTTATCGTATCGATAAAGATGCATTTGCTTCAGAAACTTCATTCATTCAAATGGTTTTGTTGTTTTGTTTTGTTTTGAGGATTGTTCTTTCCCCCTTCTTCTTGATTGGATTAAATTATTAATTTCCAAAACATAAGTTTGATATAATGGATCATCAACGCTAGCTTGTTCAACATTTATATTTATGCGATTTAATGAGTCACGATTTTTAATATATTTTGCGTATTTTGATTTCATGAATTTATCTCTTCTGCCAAAACCATCTACAGCAAACGTAGCTAATTGTTGCAGATCTTTAATGTCATTCATAATTACTTTAACATTATCTTCATTAAATTTATTTGTCTATTCAGCCTTACCTATAGGGCCTGCTGAGTTTGGTTCAGGGGATAGTGTTTCAGTACCTTCAGATACTTGTATTGGTTGAGCAGCAGCTATTTTGTTTTCTGAAAGTTCTTTAGGAATCGTTTTTGTTTTCTTAGTTCATCTTGCTATTTCTCCAGGTGATTCATCGATTTTCTCTAACTTTGGAAGAAGACTTTTAGTTGTTTCTGTGATAGGGTTAAATAATTGTGTTGTAGCCTCTTTAAATTCAACTTGAGATTCCTGACGTGATTGTAGTTGTTGCTTAACAGAATGACGAACAGATAAATATTTTTTTAATTGCCCCTAGTCGCTCGCGAGTTAATCTAGCCGAATGATGTTCTCAAATACTCATTATTGATACTATTTATACTGCTTGTTTAATTTATAGCAGCAGAGAGGGTTATACCCAACGTTGTGTGACCAGCGAATAAAACACTAAAGAGTCAAAAAATAATCTGACCAATTAGAGAAGCTTTTAGCTTAAACGTCATCGACATTATTTTTTCAACCTCGTAGGAACGTTTATTTTTCAAACAAAAGGTCTCAGCAAAGTGGTCTGTTCAGCCTCTCTGCTGCTTGACCAAATTATGATTTACATCAGAGACCCTCAGCCCTAACAAAATTACAAATTGTATGAGGTGGTGGTAAATGCATTATAGGAGCTATATAGATTTACAACTTTTGCTTTATTAGTATTGTTCGCATGTCCGCTCCATAATTGTTACTAAAAATCTTAGCAATTACCTCAACAACAATGTTGTTGTTATTGTTTTATGGTTTAAGGCCCTTGTTCAGCACAAGATAGGCGATACATGGTGGCCAGTATACATAATGGAGTAAGAACCAGGGAAAACCCTAGAAAGAACCACCGACCCACTAGAAACTACCGGCTCTCTCCCATACCCACATTAGCAGAGCCTGAGACTCGAACCCACGTAGATGGTAGTAAGTGAGATGGTAGTAACCTGTATTGGTTAGCACTTTTAGACCACTCAGCCATTTCGCGCCCCCAACAACAATGTAAAACAGTATTTACAGGACAGTAAAATGGAGTCTAATCTAGGTAGCAAGTGATGCTGCACCCATAACGTCGGCAGTAGTTGCCCACACAGTATCTGACTATATATATATTTATTTATATATATATATATATATATATATATATATATATATATATATATATATATATATATATATATATATATATATATATATAGTCAGATACTGTGTGGGCAACTGCTGCCGACGTTATGGGTGCAGCATCACTTGCTATCTAGATTATATATATATATATATATATATATATATATATATATATATATATATATATATATATATATATATATATATATATATATATATATATATATATATATATATATTGTTCATGGATCAAATTCCAAACGAGTTAAGTACTTCCATTGGTTTAAGTGCCCATCATCATTTTCCTTGAACATTTTCACTAAGTCTGGAATTTAATTGACAAATGAAATGACCATTTTAATATTGTATTAAATTACTAAGAAAAAGCATGAACATTAAAGTGATTTTTGAAAGGTTATTTGTCTGAAAGTATTAATGTGAGGATGTGTTTATGATTATTAACGTAGCTTTAACAATTTTTCAGTCATATCGCTACGATGTCTGCAGTGTAGAAGTTTATAGTAATGTCCAGCAATGGGGCATCATGCCGCAGGCATATAGCATGATGTCGCATCCATTCACATTATTCGGACACATGGCCGACCAATCCTAACTCTAACCTCATAATGCTGAGCGCCAAGCGAGGCAGCTGTTAGTTGTTAGTACCATTTTGTAAGACTTTGGTTTGACTCGACCGGGGATCGAACCCACGATCTCCAGTATTAGAGGCAGACGCTCTTGCCACTAGGCCACCTGAGCGGTTCTCTGTATGAAAGTAAAGGCTCATTTAAAATAGTTTGGTATGTCAATTTATTACATGTTCAATGTATTATATTCTACATGTAGACATTAAGCAGATTAGAAAAGAATTAATTAATGAAAAAAACAATTAGTTGAAGTGGCGAAAATTTGGTTAGCTCATTCTGTTCCCTTCTTTTCCCGATTTGTTACGTGACCCATTGTATGTACGGTCTTTCACTTGTAGGCATTAACTATATTACCAAAGACCTTATTAATAATAACCCACTAAGAAACTATTTGGTTAAAAGTCACAAGGAAAATGAATCAGCTAGCTGATTCTGGCCCTCACCCTCCTTATTTGTTAAGTGGCTCATTACTTGTATGAGGTTTCACATGTGAACAAAAAACTTATTACCAGTGCACGGCAGGGGGGATAATTGGCTGTTACACCAGTTGAGCTAAATTATGCACGGATATTTATGAAATTGGCGGTGGCCTGTACCCCAAACTCTCTCGACACACCACCTCAAATGCCGATAAGGGAAAGGGGATTGCTCCTCCTTAAATGTTAAATATAGCAAGTTTCATGAAGTTTGTTTTTTCTAGTTCTAGAGATTTGGTGTTGCAAAAAGGCTTTATCATTGAGTTGATGATGATGGTGTCCCCCAAGTTTGTTTTAACCTAGAATTTCTATGTGTGCTTATGTTTATGCTTATTATTTGGGGCTTTACTATATTTTAGTTAGACTCATACTTCTTACAATCTAATTGCAAAGTCTGAATATAATCATAAAGAGAAATTAATGGGATTTTTTCTGTAGCAAAATATACCACAGGATGTGGGAAAAATATTATTCTGAAAATCATCTTGATCCAGATCGACTCAGCCTTAAATATGCATCAAAAAATGATGGATCTTAGCCAGTAATCTTCCCGTTGAATCGATTGGTGGCAGCATGGAACAAAGCAGTCCAAAATTATAATTGTATACCTTTACAAATTGCACACTTGAATGGTTTCTCTCCATACTGAACAACCTATGACTCACTTAACACTTGAATTTTTTTCCCGGTATGAATGTTCATAAAATTCCATTCCTTCTAAACATGTTTTCACACATTTTACACTTCTATAGTTTTTATTTATCTAGTATGAATCCTCATGTACAGTTTTAAATTTTGACTCTGCATGAATCTTGTATGACATACTTCATACCTAAATGGTTTTTCTCCAGTATGAATGCGAATGTGATGGTTTAAAGTTCTACTATATGTAAACATCTTCTCACATAATTCACACTTAGCCTGTTTCTCTCCAGTATGAATCCTCGTGTGCTGTTTTAAATGTCCATTCTGAGTAAACATTGCTTCACATACTTCACATTTAAATGGTTTTCCTCCATGACGAATCCTCGCGATGTTTCAAATTATCACTAGGAGCAAGCATTTTCTCGCGCACTGTACACTTAGGACAACCGTAGTCTTCCACGTTCAATAAACTTCTATATCATTACTGGATTCTGAAGCAATTCCTACGCATATACTCTGTTTCTGAAGACTTTAGTACTTCTTTCCCATAAACAAGACCTTGTAAACACATTATTTGCTAGCCATTATTGTTTCTCTTCCACACAATAGCGTCTTGTTTGGTAAACTGTTGAACTTAGTTATATTTTTATTACAAGATCCATTTGGTTTGCTTAATACCTCTTGCAATTTATTGGCCATGTTGCATTGAATTTTGTCATTTGTCAAGAAAATGCAGGGGGGAGATCCAGTGTGTCCAGAAATAAAATAATCTTGAAAAGAATATTCTGGTGACAATTGTGTCTTTTCAAATGGTAAGCATTGCATTGTGTTCTATTGTCATCAATTGATCGAATTCTGTATGCGTTTTGCCTCAATATCGGAGACGGAAACCTTATGTGTGCAGCAACCCCAACAATATTGTATAACATATATCCCGGTGATCAAATACGTCTTTACCACGCCCTATTATCTGCTTTTATTATTGATCTTGGGCTCCTTCTTAGATTAAGCCATTTCTTGAGTTGCTAAGATCAACAGCTTGGAATTCCAAAATTCTCAGAGGTATTAGTGTGAATGTTCAGTACCTTCACATTAAATTAAGTATAAGAAGTATAACTATTTACAAAATAAATTCTAACTACTGGTCTGTAATTCTTTCAAATATATATATATATATATATATATATATAT